CCGCAGGGGTTAATTAGTGGCAGGGATTAATTACCATGAGTGATTAATGAGGGGCCGCAGGGGTTAATTAGCAGCAGGGGTTAATTAGCGGCTGGGATTAATTAGCGGGGGAGGGGCAGCGACCGCGACAGGTGCGGTGGGGGAGGGGCGGGAGGGACTGGGGGGAACTGGGATGAACTGGGATAAACTGGGATTGTACTGGGCCATACTGGGAATCACTGGGATACTGGTTCATACTGGGATGGACTGGGCAATACTGGGATCATACTGGGGGATACTGGGATCATACTGGGAATCACTGGGATCACACTGGGATCATACTGGGAGTTACTGGGAGTTATTTGGGCCATACTGGGAACCACTGGGGTCATACTGGGATCATACTGGGAATCACTGGGGCCATACTGGGATGGACTGGGCCATACTGGGAATCACTGTGATCATACTGGGAATCACTGGGGCCATACTGGGATCATACTGGGAGTTACTGGGAGTTATTTGGGCCATACTGGGAATCACTGGGGCCATACTGGGATCATACTGGGAGTCACTGGGGCCATACTGGGAATCACTGGGATCATACTGGGAGTTACTGGGGCCGTCCTGGGAGTCACTGGGAGTTACTGGGGCCATACTGGGAATCACTGGGATCATACTGGGAGTCACTGGGGCCATACTAGGATTGTACTGGGCCATACTGGGAATCACTGGGGCTGTACTGGGAGGCACTGGGGGATATTAAGATCATACTGGGAATCACTGGGATCATACTGGGATCATACTGGGAATCACTGGGGCCATACTGGGAGTTACTGGGGCCATACTGGGAGTTACTGGGGCCATACTGGGGGATACTGGGAGACTACGGGGTCATGCTGGGAATCACTGGGGCCGTACTGGGATCAAACTGGGCCATACTGGGAATCACTGGGATAATGGTTCATACTGGGATGGACTGGGCCACGCTGGGATCATACTGGGGGATACTGGGGCCACACTGGGAATCACGGGGGCTGTACTGGGAGTTACTGGGACCATACTGGGAGTTACTGGGACCATACTGGGAATCACTGGGGCCATACTGGGATCATACTGGGAGTTACTGGGGCCACACTGGGAGTTACTGGGGCCATACTGGGATGGACTGGGCCATACTGGGATCACACTGGGGGATACTGGGACTGTACTGGGAATCACTGGGGCCATACTGGTTCATACTGGGAGTTACAGGGACCATACTGGGAATCACTGGGATATTACTGGGAGTCACTGGGGGGATACTGGGAATCACTGGGGCAATAGTGGGAATCACTGGAATCATACTGGGATGGACTGGAGGATACTGGGACCATACTGGGAATCATTGAAGCCATACTGGGAATCACTGGGGCCATACTGGTCCATACTGGGAATCACTGGGGCCATACTGGTCCATACTGGGGCTGTGCTGGTTCCTACTGGGAATCACTGGGGCCATACTGGTTCATACTGGGAATCACTGGG